GTGTGTGTGTGTATATATATATATATATATAGTAAAGCACTTTATTATTATTTTTTATTCAGATGCACAATTACAGTCAATAACAACAGAGACTGTGGAAAAGTACATAAAAACAATGTCAGCAAGAATGAAAGTTGTTATCAAGACCAAAGGAGGCCATACAAAATATTAAGCTTTTCGGTTATTATGTGTGAAAAAAAAAATACTGTTTAGTTGTTTCAGTTAGTTATTTGCTTAATAAATGACAATAAGACAGATTCCTAAAATATTTATGTTTTCTCTTTATTATGAAAGATGGCCTCATAAATTTAAGCACATACAAACAAATTTATTAGACAGTATTTATTGACTGTAATTGGCCATCTGAATAAAAAAAATGAAGTGCTTTACTATTTTTTCTGCCTTTCTAAAACAGTAAATTAAAAAAATTAATGGATAGCATCATGCATTAGAAACACTACTGTGACTAAAGAGCATACACATACTGGTGGATTAAGCATTACAGAAACAACAAATGATTTTGGTAATCACTAACACTGTTAGTTTAGGGCAGCTGTGGCACAAACCTTACACTGGGTGGTGGTGGTCTAATAAATTGGTGAAGCACTGTATATCTCATACTTATTTTAATGATATTTAGCATACTGATAACAATACCGTAAAAACATGGATTGTCTCAATAGATGGATGCAAAACGAAGAAAAAAATTCACAAAACAGATAAATCTCTCTTTTATTTCTCAACGCTGTCTGTGACAGAGCGTCTCCATTGTGCACACATAATGCCTCATTTCTGCTGATAGCAAAGCTGCTTTTTTGACTTGTGTAATATTGCTGGGTCACGGCCCGTTTCACACATGCTCAGGCTGAAGACTCGAGGCCTGAGCGCCATTATGGCATGTACCAATCATCACTTGGAATTACCAGAGCTGTCAGTCAGCTCCCAACCCCCCGTTTCATGAACTTTCGAGGTGTCTGCAACATTCACCTGGAGCACGGGCTTCGGAAACATACCGCAACAGATACAGTGATCATATAAAGTGGCAGAAAGAGCCTTTATTAGAAAAATGAAACTTTGACTTATATACATGTTTTTACATCTTGTAACCCAGCACATGTCCTGCAACCACATTGTATTGACATTTCACAAGTCACATATCAGACCTGTTCCTTTAATATGATCTATGTACACATAAAAAAAGCAGAGAATGAAAAAAATGTTCCAAATGAAATGTACTTTAGAGAGAACAGGAGATATGTTCAAACCGCCCCACTGAATTAGTACTTTCTCATGCAGTTTGCCAATAGCAGAAATGATTTCATTAATGCAAGTTTGTGTCAGCTTTATGTAAGCGATTACTTTCAACTTACATTAAAAAGTTCTTAAGACATTTCAGTACGCACATAAGTGATAATGCGTCATTATAAAAGAACATTTAGGCAGCAGGTCACATGGTTTCAGTGATAAATAGGTTATAGTCACATGACAATCCCCACCCGCCCCAGTATAAAACACTGTTCTAAAATAATTTCTACTTTTAACCACATAAAATATGGATGCAAAGCTCACAAGAGTGATTATTAAACAGGAAACACAAGTGGTTCTTTTCAAACAAATGTTTCTTTCCATTGTGAGTCCAATACGATCAAAATCATTTTTACAGGGAAGGCAGCGTTCGTTTGTCCTTTAATAAGTGCAAGTATTCCAGCAGCTCTGTGCTCAAACAAACTCAAACAACCAAACAAAGAATTTAAAAAGATACTTTTTGCCCCCTTTAAGGTTGGTACTCACTAAATCACTGTCTGTCCATTATTTTGATTCCCTATTAAAATAATCAAACATTTCAAATATCTGTCACTGGAAATGCATTAAAGAAATCAAGAGCAGTGTTTGGTTTTGAAACTGAAGGTGACTGAATAATCCTCACATTAGTAATGCAATGATAAAAATGGCAATGCTAAAAGAGCCACACGACTGATGTTTCCGCTATGTTTCCAAGCTGCCAGTTTTGCCCCTGCAAACGTCTTCCTGAGGGTTATAAAGCGGCCTGAGAATGAAAGGGAGCGAGCTGCAGTCAACACAGTCATGCATGAGGACTCTCGCTCCTGTCTTTAGCCACCTGCCCCTTCTCACTGTGCCTTGTGTGGCTCTGGCAGATGTAATTTGAGCAGAGGTGATTTCTCCTTGAAACTACCTCGATGGGAACACAGCCAATGATGCAGTGACAGTACAACAGCTTGCCTGGCAGCCAAAAGGGCCTATTGTTCTTACTACACTGCACTTGGCAAAATATAATTTCGGGAAACAACGGATTTCAAATGGTCTTCCATGTGGATGCAGAACTGACTTGGAAGGAGATCCATTGTCATGTTAAGTAACGTCTCACATCCCTACTTCGCTTTTTGATATTCTGCCCTATGCAGTCATAAAACTCGCCTCAAAGGGAAAGAAAATTGGTTCTGTATGTATCTTTTAGTCTAATGGGTTTTTTATAAAAGACAAACGCGTGGTGATGGAGGCATCTCTGTTATCTGAAAAGACTTTTAAAGTGTAAATATTCAGCTTATAGACTGAGCGCCTTTAGCCACTGATCCAAAAACTCCCTCTCTTCACGATCCACGGATAAATGTATAAAAACACACATCTCTGCTGAAAGAAGTGGAGCGTAACAAACGTGAAGGACGAAACAGATTATCCCTTAACTAGCGTTTAAGGTGTAATTGAGAAAGTACTCATTTTTTTCTGACTTAAAAATCCTCGCTTACTGACTTTTAGAAACTGAACTACAGTACTTTGCCTAGTCTAGCTCGTCTTATGGAAATAATCGGCATCTGAGCTACGTTAAATTCACATTTGTGTATTATTCTATGAGAGGTAAATAAAACCAAAAATATAATATAATAGATTTTTTAATAAACTATAGATGACTTTTGCCTAGCCAAAAACTGCTACATAAAATAATTCCACACAGTTCATCTGTATCTAGTTGCAATCAATACCTGACCTGTGCTGTTCCACCCGACCGCCTCCGATAACCTTCGACAAATACAGAACGATGATGTAAAAACATTTTGGTTTTCAAGATGTTTCTGTGTAAAAATCCCAGAAGTTTGGCGGCCTGAACGACATGTCAGAGTGGCCACAGAGCTTTGGTTCATGAGCAGGATGGATTCGTACCCTGCAGTCTCACAACGGCCCATGTCTATGAACCAAAGAGGCCAGTTCTCCTCACATCGATCTGTAGGCATGCTTGATCCAAGCTCACCTTCAAGTGGATTGACAGTATTTACTTAGGAAAAAATCTGCCGCAATACCTGTAGTCCCAACCCCCAAGCCGCACCCCAGCCCCAAAATGTTCAAGCTTAAAAAACTGCAGGGCTACAATCCCTGATAACAAACTGCATGGAGACTTTGAAATCTCGTAAGGTGACATTTTGACTTGTGAGTGATGTCATTTTTCGTACGTACGCTACAGAAAATGAGTGCTACTGAACAGACCTGTGAAACCCACACTAAAAATATTGTTTACTCTGTATCTTCGTAACTTTCATGAATTATTTGAGTATGAATTTACAAGCAAATTTACAAGTGTCATATATTCAAAATAGTTGCTAAGTCTTTGAGGAATTAAAAAAGCTCTATTCTTACAGCAAACCATAGATAATAGAGAAAATCAAGAAGACGTCATATCTTTGGATTTTCACCTGCCAATCGAGGAAGAGCAAGGATATTCACCTCGCCTCACAAAGGATACAAAATCAATGCAGATGTGGCTCTGTGATTAATACTAGAGGCTAATACCTTGCTTTTTTCCCCAAAACAGCAGCTCTGCAATATGAAGGATCATTTTCTTTCCATATATATGTTATATTTGCACCCTGTTACAAATAATTTGTGATATAACATCATAACAAAAACATAGAAAGAGTTACAATTGAGTTGCATGCCATTATTATAATTCATGTTCATGTAATCAAAATACATTTTCCTTAAAGACTGGGGTTATTACAAGGGTGAAAAAATAACTGAAAAACAAGTTGCAAAGAGTAAAAACTATGTATGGCATATATGATTACAAGACTTTGATATTTTACATGTGCATGTGCACATTAGCTTCTTAAAGCAGCACTTCATATGATTAATGTATTCATGATTATGATAGTGATGACATATTCATGATAAGTGTACAGTGAATTATATCACATTATTGAGGAAGTTCAAAGAAAGCAAGTCTGGTATGAGAGCGGAAGCTGCTAGAGCAGTCATACAACACGTTCATGTCGATAAACATCCTGTTTTCCAACAAACGTTGGAGTCGTAAACATAAAATCTCATTTCAAAGATGGCTGAAAGATCCTCTCTCTAAACGCAACTGCCAGTGGAAGTCCTCGGACAACCACAGCGGAGTGGAGGAAAACATGCCAAAATGCTATGTGAATGTGCCTTTAGGTGGTGTAGAGAAAACGTTACACAAAATGACACAGAACCATCCTGAGGTATTTGATCTAATACACGATTTGGCTGTGTTCTGATTCACATTGCATGGAGTTCATTGAGTGTGTCTGTACAGTATAAAGTTTAGTAACAGGTCTGCAGAACAAAGGTCTTGCGTGGTAGTCCTCAATGCGAATAGGGTGTTGATCGTGTTACAGACTGCAACAGAAAACCAATGCTCTAGTTCAGACTTCAAGCTTCACAAGCGGCCCTCGTTACACTTAATGAGTGGATCGCAACAGCGAAGCGAGGCTCCGCCAAACTACAGTAAACAATAGTCTTTGAGAGGTGATGCTCTGATTCGGTTTCACAGTGTACAGTGACAGATGGAAGTTTTGAACGAAATAAATGTGAGACAAACCTCCATCGCAAAAACTTCCCACAATCTGGAAATGGAAGATCAACACAATATTCCCAGTCGAACAACCTACATACAGATCAAGTTTTCATTGCACAGATGACCACCTCAGCTGTCGAACGAAATCACCTTAATGCAAGTATATCTTCAACCGAAATAAGAGAAGAAAAGAAACACACATGCAAAAGAAATCTATTCCTGACAGGAATATAGAAGTTCTGTTTATAAAGCAGAGGTGGGCGGTTAACTAATGATTATTGTGCTACCAAATAAGATAGAGAAGAGTCTAAATTCTAAATAGGGATTAGAATGCCAAAAATCCCAAGTCTATAGTAATAAAAGCAAAAATGCAATTGCTGAGTTTCATGGATGAAATACCCTTGCTTGCCTTAAGATCAGGAACTATTCCAGCCACAGTCCATCAGATACATATACGGTCTTGTCACATGCAACGTGGGGCCAAATACCTGAAACCCCACCCTAGGATCTGCTTCAGTCCACCACAGCTTCAGGTCGGACTTGAAGCGGCACATCTGCACTAGCACTCAACGTTTTGAGCACACATTAGCACTAGGCCGAGTGTTGGGGACAATTAACAACTTCCATGCTGGATCACATTTTATTGGCTTACACTTGACTAACTCTCTTTCTGCAGATACCTGCCCAGAAGGAATCTTAAAATGTTGAAAACCTCTGGAAAGCTCTCGTATAAGAAGAGTGGTATCTCGGGTACTTTGTAGATGTAGGTGACTGTGGCATTCTAAGTGAGTAAATAGTTCAACTACACAAAAAAGCATTAAACATCTGACTCGAGACTAGGTATTTTCTTATATACTCGTCTATTGCTAAACTGCGAAGAGTTGAGAACCCGGGGAGCTGAGTATGCACTAGTCTTGTTGGCTACATAAGGCATTACATGCTCTGAAATGTACATGTCATTGGGTATTCGACCATCCCTGGAACAGTATGAAGTGGTAGACTTCACAGAGGACCTCAGATTGTTCTCGTTCCTAGTTTTGATGGGAGCCAACTGTTTGTAAATATCCGAGGAGCTCCTGCCATGGACCAGGCGAGTGTCATCCCGTATAGATTGCATGAAGGGGTTGTCCGAGGGGTGATCAGGGTAAAGTGACTTACTACGCTTGCTTTCCTCCAGGTTTCGGTTAAAGAGCATGGACCTGCTGCCGAATAGTTTGTCAGCCTTGATGTTAAACATGTTTGCATAAGGGCTGTCCTCCAGGAAGCGGTCCTTCTCCTTTAGGCTGACGCTCCGCGCCGGCCGGTTCAGGTCAATTTCTTTGGGCTTCTCAAGCATGATATTGTCAAAGGAGTGCTGACGGCTGAGCCTCAATCTGTTCCTCCTCTGTACGTGTGGCCCATCCGTCTGAGGCCAGTAGTGGCTAAACATGTCATCGTGGTGCATGCCAGGGCTGATCATGGCCTCCTGCAGCAGTTGGTCCTCACTAATGTCATACAGGTTGCCCATGTGGATGCATGCCTCGCACCGGTTATACGGTGAGCGTATGGCAGCGTAAGGCCCAGTGCTGTAGTTGTTTACCTTAGAAAGACAGCTCCGGCAATGAGTCTGTTTGAACCTGTCGTTGCTTTCGTGAGGACTGAGATTCTTCTCCTTCATGCTGTAATGTTTGTTGTAGACGCTGTCCGGCAGAAGGTCCGAGTCACTATGATGTAGGGGGCTGCTGTTGAGATGGATGATGGGCTGGTCGCATTTCCTGTAATTGTCATTGTGGTCTGAATAAATTTCGCCAAAATCCAAATCGTCAGTTGTCAGGCCTCTGCCTTCCCTGTAGTGCTGTGACTCTGAGTGCAGACTCAGCTCCCGGTCTGAGTCTATGGTGTATATTTTCTCTCTGCCCACTCCGCCCTGCTTATTTTTTAAGTAGGACAGCTCTACCTCGCTGCAATCCCTAGGGTATTTTGACGTCATCGATCTTTTTTTTAAGTTATCCTTGGACTTCAGGTGCTTGTTATTGTCTGGATCCTTGTAGGAGGTGGCCCTGCTTGAGCAGTCGGAGATATCCGAGTGTGCCGTGTCCTCTGGCAGGTACCTCTGACTCTTCATGGACAAACGGGGGTCTATGGTATCAGACCCCTGAGTTTGACGCAAAGTATCCACAGATTTCTTCCACAGAGCTCGGGGTTTTGCATTGGTCTGGGCTGTGTCTGCACTCACCGCCACCTCTACAGTATTAGGGTTTGATTCATTGAGGGTGAGGGGATGCTGACCTTGGAAGATGTAGTTGTTCAGATGGTCCTTGTGGCGGTTTGCCAGATACGCCTGTAAGTCGCTGGAGTCTCCATAGATGTCCTTTTGGGCATAGCTACGATTGTCAGTGTAGATGAAGTTCCCTTTCTCTGCCATCATGTCCATGATCATGGGGCTTGCCGAATGCATAAACTCACCTCCACGTTTAGGAGAGTTGATCCTGGAGCCACTGAGGTTGGTCATATTAGTCATCTGCTTCGCGGACTTGATAAGCTTAAGCATGTTGGACTGTGGACTGAAGTCCAGGTCAGATGACTTTTTCTTCATGTCGATGTGAACACCATGAATGCAACTCCATATACCCTGTGGAAAAAAGAGTGAATCAAGTTCAATATTCATACATTAACCATGATGTCTGTGACTTGCAAATGTACCCATCAGTGTGATCAAAGAGCACTTATGAAGTTTTTAATTAGGGCATAGATAAAAGCCAGTGACACAAATGCCTTCAAACTTAGAAACAAATTACCAAGGGGTTTATTTTGAAAGGCACATTTTCTTTAAAAATGATAATTTTCTCTTAATATCTCTATGAATCTCTTTTCCTCAGTAAACACTTACATCAGTTATGCTTGAGATCTCCAACACCAGCATTTCCTTAACTTAAAGATGCTAATCAGAGGCACCATATTCTCACACTGACAGCATGTACACAAACCCAGCAGGGTTCAAAACTAAACAAAGACATACTGAGCTTTTGGCTGTGCTAGAGATCATGCTGTCAAAACAGACTGCTGTCATTTTAAGCTCCCTGACCATGGAACAAGTGGTCGAAAATCAAATTTCTGACAAACTTTTTCTTTCAAACACGGCCCATGTCAGGCTAAAGAGTGAGCTCAAACGCTAACTGGATTACCACTGACACTCTCAGAATTAAGATATTGGCTGTCCCTACTGTCAAGCCTGATTCAGCAAACACCAAAACTAGGGGTCTTTAACAGTGGGTTCACAACCCCTAGGTGGTCTATTGTGGTAATACGGGGTGTCAGCCAATTATTACTTGATCTCAAAATAATTGGTGCCTCATTTGTCCCTTTTTTTTTTTTTTTTTGCCTTTCATACTACTTTATAAGCATATGATTACAGACCGGGCTTAAAATGCACTAAATACATTTTATACATGTAACAGGGAATCCTGCCCTGATTTTCTAATTTTATGTCCAGGTATGGATGATTGTATGAACAGAAGCTTACCCTGCTGATGGAGAAGAGCAGGCCAGGTTTGCCCGAGCAGATGCCAGTGAAGCAGTATCTGAGTCTCCAGTAGAACAGGTGCTCCCAGACAAAGGTAATGAGGCTGAGACCCATGGCAGTCGCCAGCATGTAGAACACTCCAGCCATGTTGTCCACATCCAGCTGGCTGCTCATTACCTCGTTTTTCTCATTGTGGCAGATCCCAGTCAGCCATTGAGCCTCCAACTCCTCCATCTCACCTGAGGAGAGACACACACGCACACGCCCAGGCCCACGTCATCAATCACCATTTCATGTACACATTAGTGGGCCGCACTACTACCGTCCAAAGACATATCCTCCTGTTCCAGAACTCTCCATGCCCTAACATGTCAAAGTGAGAATCAGTAAAATTATACACTCAAGCTTTAGCCATATGTTAGCACCATCTGAGACTTTTTTCTCTTTCTCTACAAGGTGCAGCTGCCAGGAGGATAATTCTGTCATTTTTCATGCTGGTATATAGCACTACTGTGAAGCACAGCATATAGTATGGAGAGAGAAAAATACTGCAGATATCAAGGAAGAACCTTGAAATAAAAGTATGCTAAATAATTTAACAGATGGACATTGCTGCATGAACACAACACATTCTAGTTCTGGCTTCAATGCACAGCATAAAAACGCTGTAGGGTAGACATATACATTTATTCATTAAGCAGAAGCTGTTCCTGTGGCTCAGTTGTAGAGCATTGCGTTAGCAGCGCAAAAGGTCGTGGGTTCGATTTCCAGGGAAATCCCTTTGGATAAAAGCGTCTGCTAAATGCATAAATTATTATATTAATTAATTATTATTATTAGAAGCTTTTATTGAAAGTGACTTACAAATAAGGAACAGACATATTTTCAACATAGAGACAGTGGCACACATAAATATGAATGTGAATCATTAACACATAATGTGCCTATGTTTTCTTAGGAGTAAAGATTTAAGGATGTCCTGTTTTACACCCTTCTTTTTTGTTTTTGTTTTTTTGCACTATGACTGTGACAAATTTAATTAATTGGAAATAACAACAATTGTAATAATTAAAAATAATGTTCATGTTCTTTTTTTAAAATAATCATCAAATAATAATAATAATTTTTAATAATGAAAATCTTATTTAATTAAATATTATAAATACTATTGTTGTGACTGTTCATAGGGCACTTTCAGACCATCCAGGTCAAAACCTGGAATGGTGTGATTCACTACCTGCATATGTATATAAATATACATGTTTAATAATAAATTCAATCCTTACAGTACTATGTTGGGGACTCCATGGAGCGGTCAGTAGTGCTTGTACTACTGTGATCTCAGTGAGTTTATACATCTCTCAAACTGTTCTCTCTAACATGCACAGCATTCTGGAGTGCTGCCAGGCATGCAAGCACTTACCATCTCCAATAATAGCCAGAATGGCCAGATCCACCGGGCGCTTCCAGGCCGACCCTTTCTGCAGGGCAATGCCGTAGCCAGTGGTAGCAAAGATGTAGCCACTACCAATGGTCACTAGTTTACACCCCTCATCCCTACCGGCCATGTAGTTCAGCACAGCTGCGTCATATATGAAGGCATCCAGTTTGCTGGTGAAAAGAAAGAGCACAGAACACTATTCAGATGGCAAATAGAAAGGTTAAATGTTCTGAGTCATTCTCATGCCTTAACACCACTGCCATGTCACCAAAAGCATCGAATGAATCATAACACATTTTAACTTTACAGCAATGAGGCAGACGCAGGGGCACGAGTTTAAGGTAAGAGACAGCACTGGGTGCGATCACACCAAGCAGTGGAGCAAAAAACAGCACACTAAAAGCTATTTAATTGACTTTGGCCTAATGTTTTATGCCAGGGGTTGTCAAACTGGTGTCTGCAAGAGGGATTAGAAAATTTTAGATTTTTTTTATTTTTATTTACAAAATACATTTCAATAGTAAGAAATAAAAAAGCTGCATACTTCACAGAATTGTTTGGTTGTATAAGCCTGCATCTTGCCATTGTTGTCTTTAACTTGCTCATTGCTGCTTGTGAGGCACAATTCTAGTAATGCTCTTCTCTTTAATGCTTCTTTGGAATAATATTTGTTCTGAGCAGCGCAGTAAATTTGAATAAAAAATTCATCACATTATGTAAAAGCACAATATGTACAGTATTAACTATATAAATATATAATTATTTTAGTCTGGATTATGTTTTATTTTATTATTTTATTTTATTTAATTTTATTTTATGAAAACAATTTTTAATAGTTTCAATTTTAGCTACCAGTAACAATACTGGGAACAGACTGAAATGTAATATTATAAACTCAACTCCACCTCCCCCATCATGGTCATAGCTGAAAGGAGGATTGTGTGTCAAAGCACAAAAGAAACATAAAAGAGCATTTCCTTTCTTTTGTTTCTTTTTTTTCTTCTTTTTTTTTTATCATGCTAGACCATAGACAGATAAAACCTCAGTTGTAACATAAGGAAGATTATGCTTCTTCATTAGACAGCCATCATATGACCAGCTCATGACAGAAATCACAGATGATCTCTGAAATTTGTCATAAACTGCAAAAACGTGACAAAAATCGCACTATGTGCACCCAACTTTAGACCCCACCTACAAACTGACATTTGGAGCCAAGGTGGGCTGCTTGTCAAACTCGATCTCTCTGTTGGAAAAGCCTTTGTCTAAGACTCATTAGTCTGGTTGTCTGACATTTTCAAGAATGTCAAATGTAACTTAGGGATCACGCTGACATCCAGTAGATTTGTTCAATTATTCTTTTGTAACGGTGGATCTGCAGTATGTGTAATGATATGCCGAGCTGCGAGAAATGATGCAGTGCACTTCCAAAGGAAATCATCTACACTGTAAAAAATTATTGTGATTTTAACAGTAAAAGACTGTAAAAATGCTACAGTAAAAACCTGTTAACTGGTTAGCAGTAAGTTTCCATACTATATTTGGTGAATAAATGTAATTACATTTAATGTGATTTTACAGTAAAATACTGATAAAAATACGGTTTTTGGAAGTGAAAAA